TGTGAATTTTTTGGCGAATGAGTTCTGGATGCTAAGAGGCCCTTGCAGTGTCTTGTTGTAACGAAAACGTATGAAGATAGAACACCGGAAGACAATAATCAAGCTCCATATCGATCAAACGTGTCTCGGTATATTTAAGCTCGCTTTTGTAACCGATTATCAGCTGAGTCAAAATGTCCCATCTACGTTTTTTCGCATGTGGTAACAAGTAAGCCAACAGTACAAGATTGGTTTTAACCGCAGATTGACGTGTAGAACATGTTTGAATACGTCTATCAACCTAGCAGGTGACAAACGAAATTTTTGTGCCTTTCGTATATTTAGAAAGGCTTTTAAAAAATACACCCAAAGAGATACCGAGATTTCCAACAAATGTACCGGTAAAATGGTATCCACCAAATAGATCTGTGTTTATTCGGTGTCTTACTTCTGCATATCTACACGAACCTACCGCGCACGTTCTACTTCCTCGCCTCTTCAATAGTCGTCAGAATTAGACAGAGTCATTGAAAGTTTCGGTCACGTTTGCAAATGGACGGTCCTCAAAAGTCCAGAAAGATTAGAGGGAATGTTTCTAAACAGAGCGAAAAACTGTATTAGGATCCGGAAGGGACTACGTTGAAATTTCATGCAGTTTTGCTGATGTTAAATTGTGAATTTTTAGGCGAATTAGTTCTGGATGCTGAGAGGCCCTTGCAGTGTATTGCAACGAAAACGTATGAAGATAGAACACCGGAAGACAATAATTAAGCTCCATATCGATCAAATGTGTCTCGGGATATTGAAGCTTGCTTTTGTAACCGATTATCAACTGAGTCAAAATGTCCCATCTACGTTTGTTCGCATGTGGTAACAAGTAAGCCAACAGTACAAGATTGGTTTTAACCGCAGATTGACGTGTAGAACATGTTTGAATACGTCTATCAACCTAGCAGGTGACAAACGAAATTTTTGTGCCTTTCGTATATTTAGAAAGGCTTTTAAAAAATACACCCAAAGAGATACCGAGATTTCCAACAAATGTACCGGTAAAATGGTATCCACCAAATAGATCTGTGTTTATTCGGTGTCTTACTTCTGCATATCTACACGAACCTACCGCGCACGTTCTACTTCCTCGCCTCTTCAATAGTCGTCAGAATTAGACAGAGTCATTGAAAGTTTCGGTCACGTTTGATGCAGTCATACCCTCTAGTAAGTAGACAGTAGGAATGGTCGATACACGCAGTGCGCCTAATTGATCACCTGGTTAGGTGCAAAGGCCAGTCGGAACAAAGAAACAGCAAAATCACAATTGCGAAATCCAACGAACCAATTCCATGCCAGTAAATCCAATCACAACGTGGCATAAATTCCAAACGAACCAATCTGATCGCAAGCGAGCGAAACTTCTGACAGCCAGTCAGGTCAAAGCCATGAAAAAATCTTTGGGAACTATAGAGAAGTAGTAGTACAGGAGAGAGAATGCATTGACAAAATCCCCACTTATGGTGACAAAAGTCCACAAGTTAACCGCCAAACTCAGCCAACAGACCAACTGTCACCTGACCAACGGCCAAACGGTTAGCAAAAATGTTCTAAATACCTTGGAGCAAAAGGCATAGCTTACATGGTTCGGTGACACGACACGGTGAGGCCTGTCATAAACCTCCCATTTGTGAGAGCGTATCCCAGGCTGCTGTTCTGATAAAATTTTTCTTCAAAGAGGATAAGCATCCTATTTCGAGGGCTCGGTAACGCTGCTCACTTCCCCAGATGCCCTTCAATGTCGCATGCCCTCAGCGACCAATAAGGCCTACCATGTAGGCTCAGGACCTTGATTCGGACGATGATTTTTTCGTCCTGAACAAACATGGAACACAAGTGGAGCTTATCCCAGGTTGCATCGGTCACTGCACCTAGCTGGCTACACTGAAAAAAATATGGAAAAACAAGGTACTTAACCAAAAGAATGGACGGTCAGTCTATTCCGTTCACTGTCAACCACCATTCTGCGAATTGGCCAAACACGGCAAGAAATATTCGTCCGCATCGGCAACAGGAAAACCTTCAGCCAACCCCACACAGCTCCAAGAAGACTTTCAGAAGTTTCGTGAACACATTGTGATCTTCCAGCCATACTAACACCTGAGGCCTGTTCTTGACGAACTAACGATCCGTGAAGACTCGAAGAATTCGACCATTGTTGTTTACAGAGAACAATGAAAGGAAGTTGCTACGACAGACCATCAAGTGATTCTGCCAGAGGAAATTTTTATGATGTTCCACCCTATCCGAATCGATCCGTCTTCAACGACAATTATTGGAACATGTGCTCAAGAAAACTGATTTCAAACTGTCTAAGCTCACCTCGTGATCACTGCCGTTTTCAGTATGGCACTGTCGCATGGGAGGGAAATGGAAAACCTGTCTCTCGTTTGCTGAGGCCAAATTTGAACTATCGGGTGTGCATGCGGCCTTCGACATCAAGCAATGGAGCAGAAACTGGACGACGTTGTACTGGCTGACAACTGCGCTTCATTGGTGGCAATAATTCGGGGGCCGACTCATCCCTTTTCGGGAGAAAATCGCCATATAGAAACATGATATTATAATGCATCATCGTTGTACCTAGGTTTATCGCTCGACCATTCGGTCAGCATGCCTGGCCCAAATCACGGGCGGAATAAACAAAATCAGCCCAAGGGGACAGTTTCCGCTTCAAGACTACCATTTGATTGGTCAGTAGGATTCGCGCACCCGTGCGGTTTTAGTGGAAGCTTCGCGCTTCCGTTAGTTTGGTCGGTGATTGGTGCTGACCGCACAGCGGGCACACATCCACACTCGGACCATGTGCGCGCGCATGGACTATGCGTAAAAGGCCAGAGTTGCATTACGCACCGACCTGCATGCAGTGAGTGTCCGGTGACACAGGACCGAATGATCCTCTGCTGGACCATGCAGGGCAATGACTGAACCTCTTTCTAATTCTTGATGTTGGCCCAGGTTTTGAAGCTGGAGAGTGGCATGTTCGGCAATGCACACAGTTGCTTTCTTGTCCCCTGTAAATAGATAGCGTTGCAGTCTCCAAAACTATCTTATACACACGGCCGGTTTGATCATCCTGGGAAATGGGGTCCTAGTTGTGGAGCAGGAGCTTTTTGTTGTGTTGTCCATCTTGGGAACAGTGATAATTTTGAAGCTCCATACGGAATTAGTACAGTCGGAATAAGGGTCCTGATTTAGGGTCATTTTCTTGTTTGTGACTTTTCTGTCCTCCATCGAGACTCACACGAGACTTCCACCCGAAACAGTGACATCAAGTAAAACGAGGTATACACCTCTATTCTTTCAATAACCTACCGTGCTGTACGCCGTGTTGTACGCCATGTACAACAGGGGGCAATAGCAGTGAACGTTAGCTTGAATCTTAAAGTGATCATAGCAGAGGATCGTCTTCGAACTGGAATCCTTTGTTTTCTCTTCTTCGAGCATAGATCGGATGGCTATGAATGGAGGGCGTTGAAATCTTGCGTAGCTGTATACAATGTCCACATATCCCCGGTAAAAATGCACCCAACGTATAACTGAATGGCTGTGGCGGTTTTCAACGAGTCCCATAAAAACATCAGCGAGTGGTGAGCCTCGAGGACAATGCACTCCGGCACCATTAACATTGGTAAAGTGTCTTGCCACAGCTGAATTCACTGCGATTAGCTCACCCAACTCCAGTCTCTGCACCAAGAAGCGTTCGCTAGTGTACCGAGACTTTCGTGATCTGATCACTTGACCAATGGCTACACAAACCAATCGATCAAAAGTGTAAGAGCTTTCACGCTTTTACTTACTCCGTTTAATCTTCATTTTCCTTTGGTGTACCGAAGAATTTCCGTTTTTAGAACTCATGATCTTCAGTCACCAAAAATTGAGACGGCAAAGAAATAATGCTAGTTTGTGTTCTGATTGTCTTATATCATTTTCAAAGTATCCATTTGCTTGTCCTAATCTTTCGTTTTTCTTCTGAAAGTGCTGAAGGTTATTCGCTCCAATTTTGTTTTTACGAACTTGTTTAGTTTACTTCTTGAACGTGCTTTTGTTCAGTTATCTGGGGTAAAGTTTACAGTTCTCCTATGATCTATATCCTTACAAGAGATAGTTTTTTCATGCCCATTTCCCCTGCGGAAAGTTGTTTTACTTCTTGGGACGGAGGCCTCAATGAATAAAAAAGAAGCTTCGGTATGTTTGCTTGAGGTAAAGAATGAAAGGTATGTCAAAGCTATACAATATATATATAATGATGCAAAAACGCACGCAGTCGTAGAGATTATTTTTTCGTTCGTGACAGTGCTAACTACTGTGTTGCATCGATCATTTTAAGCCATCCGCGACTGAGTGATATTTGCTCATTAGCAGCTGTTTTTGCTCACAGTGTCACCTCACATGCCACAAAAGTCGGTTACAAACTCAAGTGGTTCCCTCTCTTAAACCCAGTCAACTTGTTCTACATCACAGTTGGGGCAACATCCAACTTGGAGTGGTTACTACTTAGCATCTTCTTTCGGCTTATTGCCAAAAGTTTCTATCGGAAAAATTATAAGCAGTGAAACGATTCGTCATATCGATGACCTCTTCGTGTACACTAGCTTTATGATATAAATGCCAGTCAAACCACACTTCCTCCGGTTTCTCTGCTCAACCAGTCGAATTCTATCTTACCTCCACAAGCATCCTGGATGTCTCAGTTTCCACGTACCTCAGAAACTCAAAAGCGAATGCACCCGTTGTGACTAATGTGCATAATAGTAATAACGATATAAATTTCTGGAAAATTTTTACATATATGATCAAGGTGATGTACCCTGGAGACCAAACCACCCAGAATGTTTTTTGCAAGGTTTTCCCGGTTGTTTTCAACTTGAATCCAGTCTGTGCAGTGATTGCGCTCCAGTCAGTCATTGAAAAACAGTAGTACTAACTGCATTTTTTCTATCGGAACTAACATAACCAAGCAAAAACACAGAAGCGTTTTCAGCATTTCTTTTAGCTGCACGAGCGGTCCAAAGTGTACACAGGTCCACAGAAGTGTGGCCCAAAAAATCGTCACCGTCTCCATCCTCTGGTGCCTGTTTGTCCGGTCTTCTGATTCATTGACCTGATATAGCCCACGGGGTCTGGATGTGTGTTCAGTGGTATACCGTCGTAGACCACTTGCTTGATATGCTGCTTCAAGAGTTCCATATTCATGAGCTTTCAGGAGTTGGATTCCCAGGAACATAGGTAGAGTGAGAGAGGGGGAAAATGGTTTCAGCTTTTCACGATATTATGAATAAAACTGATCTAATTGTGGTTCATACCGGGAGAAGTAGGAGGTTTATTCACCAAATACAAACGCTTGAGAGATACTGACACCATAAAGCTGTTTGAAGATCACGGTCTTTTACGAACTGATTTTATTCACCCAATATGTGATCACGTGATGTGATTTCCGCCATCGATGGGTGGGTAGTGCTAAGCACTGTCTGAGTAAGAGCTGATCACACTGCTAATCAGCCGGTCATGGCCCAATGTCTGACTGCTGAAACTACTAACCGGGAGGCCGCGAGTGAAAAACTTGCTTGAATTCCATGAGATACACACTACCAAAGATTCTCAACAAAGATGAAGCAGCTATACAGTGATTCGGTCAGGCTTCACTGACAGGGTGAAATCTCTATTGAACAAGTCTGACGTTCTAACATAATATTGCAATTTCCATGCGACTTCAAACGGAAGTCGTGCTGCGAACCATTGAAGCCAAGGTGGCCTTTGCTGGGCCGAAATACTAATGACAGAACTCTCGATTGCAGAATGCGATGATCCACATCCCGGTGCACAACGCTCTGCACTATAGGTGGTAAATCTGACCTCTATATATAGACGGATTTCTTTGGTTGAGTGTAGTTGGATATCCTTACCTACGGAACAGCGCACGTTTTGGTGGTAAGAGTGCGTCACTACTTCCTCATTGCATGAAACACTGTTAGATGCCGTAAGCGCCAATAAGAATGAGGATGTTTGACTTCGCAGAATGAGGCAAGTTGTACGCATTCACTGAGTATCTGTCCCATCAAGTCTTATCTGCCCATGTTGACCACGGTAGAGAGGGTGTAAAATCTAAACTGGTAGACAGGGCTGAGGAAATGACAGGTAACCCTGCCACTGTTGAGCACACTCAGATCCCTCGAAGGCATCGGAAAATGCTAACTGCTGTTGGTTAAAATGCTTAAAGTTGAGACTGGCGAAGAGGATGCTCATAAGCTCATTGTGGGCACACTACAGTACAACAAAATACAGACAAATTACGGGTAAAAATGTGGGGGAGAACAAATGAACAGACCTAGAGTTGTGGGTGACATAAGGCCTTTGAAGATTTAAAAAGTTGTATATCCTCCGGGATGGAAACAACAGCTGTCTCTACTGATAAATATAAAAAGCCACACTAACAAAAAACGAACAACAGAAAATGGCTACTCGGAGTAGCCGTTCCTAATACACAACCTAAAATAGGCTCCTCGAAGAGGCGGAGTCTCCTCACGATCAGCGTTCAAGGGTGAGCAAGTACTTGAAATCCTAACAGAAGCCAATGATCATCATGCATTACACTTTTCAGACTTTACAAATGCAAGTGAGTCTACATCAGTTACCCTACTTCAAGCTACCTACTCCGCTACCCATGTTATCTGTAAGTTCACCTGCAGTTCCAGTGCTATCTAAATTGACGAGAGATTGACATCTCTGTCAAAGAACAGATGAACGTACTCTAAAATATTCAACACGCACAACCAAACAGAAATCTCGTCTGAGAAGGTTTCCTTTATTTCTAGTGAGTTCACGCTAAAGCAGGAAATCAGCGGAGATGAGTTTAGTCATTAGAGCTGATCAGCAGTGCATTTCCCTGATCGTGCCTGTTCTAACCCGCGGACATCCGTTACGAGAAGCGGGCTACTACTCCACCAACGTTCACTGAAAGCACCCCACTTTTCACCTCCGAATATGCAGTGGTGCTCACTCTTCGAGTGACGTAACTGTTTTTCCTAGACCCTCGACTGAGTAGCCAGTATACGTCCCGATTATGTTGACCGCCTGACAAGCTTGTCAGGACCCCCAATCAGGTGACATCGCGGAAGCTTGAGACGGGAAACGTTCACCTGTTCACACATAATGGTTCGGGCGTATGCAGCGTGCATCGGTTGAGTGGTGGTAACACGCTTGCCTCGAGTGTCAGATCTCACTGGATTCAATTCGAGGCAACGCCAAAGATAGGCGGTGCTGATTAACCCCAGTGCTCGTCGTCTTTAGTGTGAGCCAACCAGAATAGTCGTTCAAGGAAATTTAGAAGAATATTCCGACGAATTTCGTAATACCACAGCCACCTATAAACAACCACGACACAGTTGCCATTTGACAAACTGAAATCCAGCAAGAGCCGCCTTCGACAACGTCGCTCTTGAATAATTCCAAGTCACCCCATCTCCACAGATGCCTGAATCAACCAGGGTAGGCTGGTTAGGTCGTGAGTGTAAAAACCACTGAGATAAAGATAGAAGGTGACACCAGCCTATACTTTTAGATTTTTGATTCCACGGCCTGAAACGATGGGCGAATATTTCACGTCGATGACTGATGACCATGAACGAAGTGTTTACTTCTTGTCGATTGTATCTTCCCACCCTCCTGATTTTTGTGACCCTTCCGACCTTTCTCACCTTTCCGCATATATCCAGAACCGCTAGAAGACACAACGCAAAATATCATTACGTTCACGATTGTCTTCTAGGCCTTGGCGAGATGGTCCAGTGGTATTTACTGACCGCGAAGTCCGTGGTTCAAACTCGACTTCTGTATCTCGACTCCCCCTGTCTAGGCTTGGACAACATGGCAGCATCCCAGCCCGCATGATTCATTCGGGTGGCATGGCAGTTAGGCACCGAAAAGGTGCCACAGCTGAGTGACGATACCTATCGAGGCCTAGTGCGCAGTAGTCGACATTGCTATAATGACTACTAGCAACGGAAGCAGCTGGCTGCGTCCCTCTAGCCAGTGGACATCTGACTATAAACCAAGCTGAAGTCGACTGGCCGACCAAAAGGCTGAAGACTGTTACTTATTTGATTGTATAGACTTATTTCGGGATTCGCTCGGACAGTCTACAAAAGAGTCATCGGCCCCATCTGCTAATACAGGTGCAGCAGAACAGTCTCAACCTAAAGCAGCTGCGCATAATACTAGGAATACATTATCTTCTTCAAAACCTTGTTTTTGTTGGCAAAAGAAGCGGTATAATCTGCTTTTCGAGTCCACTGAGGCACTTATCTACCAACCGGTAGAGTCACTTTCAGAAGTCCCTGTCCTTTGACCAGCTTCCCAGGGATGACTTTTTTCCTAGCTGGGCGCATTAATTTCCACAAACCACTGGTAATTCCAGGTTGATTCACAGCAGACAACTCAGTTAATAGGTCATCCGGCGTCACTTTGAGCATCGTTTTCCTCCTTTTCTCTGTCTCTCAGTAAACATAGAGTTTTTCCAGAATTGCCTTCCGGACGAGTTAAATGAGCACGTTGCGCATTATTTTGTGCACATTCATAAACAACGATCATTAGTCAATCAAACGACCCAACAAAACTGAGTGTGACACATCCTCAGACTGAGATTCGTCCACGTGACCCAGTCAATCATTCGCAATTTTGGCAAAGAAAATCGGCACAACCGACGTCTTTTACTTTGGCATTGAATATCATATTTGCGTGATGTCTCAATTGTCGTTGTGATCACGTTGAATGAGACCTTTGTAATGTATGTTTACTTTGGTGACTGAGAGCCTAGAAAAAAAGGTAGCGTTACGTGACTTGAATCTTTTCCCTGTTTTAGTAAATCTGTAGAGAAAGTTCAATACGATGACGCGCTCATACTGCCTTTGGTCGACAAAGTTTCAAGAAAAAAAGACGTACGCACTGTGAGCCCGCAAATTGTATTAGGATCATAGTTGTAAAAACTTGCAAGGTATTACGTAAACACTCGGAGCATAAGCGAAAGCGAATGGGCCTTACCTGAGCGGCAAAAATACACGAGCTAAGGCAGGGATAGACTTCAAAGCACATCATGTCATCCCGACCATATTTCTCTTGGCACATTGAATGATTCATACAGCTGTAACCTTGTATTTTGCCACATTTCTGGATTTCGTGCCAAGCCCATCGTTTGGGCCGCTGAAGTTTGCTTGCGTTGATAGATGACAAATGGCACCCGAAAACGACCAGGAAAATGGCGGTGGCTAAAATATGTAGAGAAAGGGGACAAAGATCACCCACTGGAACCCGTCTAAACATTAAGAAGTTTTGTGCACTTCGTGTGAGAAGGGGTGCGGCAACAGATGTGTTGGTTGTGTAATGTACTACTCATAGGGTCGCTGAAAATCCATCGACAGCCCACGACCGGTTTCGCCCTTCTTGGGGCTCATCAGGTAGGCGCAGTCCCCGGGTTTCCGTCAACCTTATGTTCTACTTGAAACCAAATTGCACGAAATTAGCGAATATACACTCATCTGCAAACTAA